GCAGCAGCAACAACAACAGCAACAGCAACAGCAACAAGCAGCAACAGCAACAACCACCACAACCACAACCACAACCACAACCACCACCACCACTACCACAACAACAACAACAACCACAACCGCAACCACAACAACAACCACAACAACAAGAACAAGAACAGGAACAGGAACAGGAACAGGAACAAGAACAGGAACAAGAACAAGAACAAGAACAACAGCAACAGCAACAGCTGCAACAAAGCACAAAAGCTTTGGATCCTTTCTTGGCTCCCCTTTACAAAGAAAGGGGTACCCCCTGGAAAAACAAAACAGCAACAATAACCAACAAACACACACAAACACAAACAAAAAACTAGATTGTTCTTGGGTGAGACTCTAGCAAACTCCGAAGTGCGCTTGGCTAAAAGGGTGCGCCCTGTCTTTAGCGGATGGCTGGTGTTCCTTTTGTTTCCCTCTAAAAAACACAACCAAAAGGGTGTTCCCGTAAAAAAGGCACACCCAAAAAAGAAACCAAGTAATGTGAAAATTAGTAAACCCATTTTACTGGGGGGTGTGCTCTCCAGAGACACCCCGCTAAAAATCAACCATGGGGTGTATTGATCGGGGCTCGCAATACCACAGAATTGGGAGCGGCCCAACCAAACTGATTCTCCAAGGTCAAACCCAAGTCTTCCCGGCAGCGTTCCAACCAAGCAGGCTCTCTCGGACATGGGGACCCGGGTAGCCATAAACTGCAAAAAGATTCGAAAAGTCAAGTTTAGGCATCACTCCTGCGCCGAATGCTGGATGAAGCCGCCCCGTGCCCGCAGGATGGCCCTCCTGCCATGGTTCGAGGTCACTTCAAGCGTTGGGCAGCCCGGAATCCAAGAACATCTATCGCGCACTGGGTCTTTGCACGCATCCACTTGTTGAAACTGTTGCAAAGAGAGTTGCTCAAGTTAAACTCAAAGCAAACAAGCAAACAAGCAGACCAAAACTGGTTGACACCCTTGGCCAGATCCGACTGAGCTTTCTGAGGGCACATACTTGTTGACGTCCTTCCAGCAAGCCCGGAAATCTGCAAGCGCAGTTTGGACTTGCAAGCCTGCCGAGTAATTGAAAATGTCTTCGACCTGGTTTCCTATCAACAGGCTCAAGTTTGTTTATGTGTAAGCAGCCAGTCAACCCGCGTAACACATGTCCAGAACGCACCTGGGAGCTGATGTTCATTTAGAAACTTCAAGTGGCGGAGTACAGGCCGCAAGAAAAGGCAAGCCATTCCCAGCTGGGAAACGAGTGGGCCCCCCAGGTCGTCCCAATCCCTACCGCGAGAACCAACAGCCTTTGTATCCCCCAAACTTTTCGCGCCGCTTTTGGTAGGGGGAAACCAGACAGGGGCCACCAAAGCAACACCGGCAAGGTTTGGTGGTTGAAAGGCGAGGAACGCCAACCCGGCGTCCTAAACATGGACTGCGCGAACAGGAGCCCCACGTTGTTTATCCAGAGCAGCACTTTGCCCACAGGCAGCGGCACCAGCGCGAAATGCAGCAAGGCTGGCATGACCGCCAGGTGCCCGTAAGTCCTCAGAGACATGGGTCTGTACCCAACACCCCGTGCTCGCTTGATCATATTCTTATGTACCTGGACCCTCCGAAAGTACTGAAATTTCTGGTCATGTCCGAAAAAATCGTGCATGAACACTGTTTCGAAAATTTAACGGAAATCGCCTTTAGCAGGCTGCGAGCGCTTGTGGTGTTCCTGGATGCACTTGAACACAGTCTTGCAACTTGTGTGGCCCGGCATGCTGATTTGCTTGGGAGCAACATGTGACAGCTTCCTTGCCTCGTTTGCAAGTTTGCAGTTTTCTCAGCCAACATGCAGAAACCGGAAAGGCACGGAAATCGGCGGGAAACGTACGGAAATCGGCCAGAAAAGTGCGGAAATCTGCCGTAAAATTCTGGAAATCTGCGCGGAAATCAGCGGAACTTTTGTTTCGGCCCGTGAGCATGACAAGCTCTAGTGCCGGGGCCGGAGCTGAACGTGAGATTCTTGCAGAGAAAAGTAGTTGAATGCTCCCCTGTCTTTTATTGTAGCCCGCAAGAAAGACAGATTTTGCTCACATGTGTGAGTTTCATGCAAATGTACGGATTTTGCAGACATTCGCAAAAAAAGTGCCCTTGGTTGTCCAAGTATATATAAAAATATATATGTATGTGTCCTTGTCTTTCTCAGATTGTAGCCGTAAAGTAGTAGTAGCAGTAGTAGTAGTCATCAGTAGTCATAGTAGTAGCTGTAGTAGTGGTAGTGGTAGTAGCAGTAGCAGTAGAAACAAGCAGTCTTTTTCAGGTTTCGGCAAGAAAGTTGCCATTTCGAGCACATCTTGGCTGGAGCGGGCTGAAGTGAGCTTCTCAGGAATGTGGAGCCCCTTGGCTCCAATCCACGCGCGTGCGGTTACACGCATTTTTTGTGCGCTTGGTTACACGTTTGTTGGGTGTGCAAGCAACTCCTGCGTGTGGCCTTGCCTGAACTCGCGTGGTTCCAAAAAGCGTGCGCGTGTGGCCTTGCACGCGCGCATCCCTTGCTTTTAACATTTCTACGTCTTAAGTCTTGTGAATCCTCAACCCTCAAAGCAGTAGGTTTGGTGAAGTCAATTGACTTCAGCATATCCCGCTAGCACCCGCTGGCACAGGCTTATCAAGCCGGTCGCTGTGCAGTTACACACCACCCCAACCCCCAACCTCCCCACCCCAGGCCAAAACGCTGATCGGCGCCCCTGTTAAGCACACTCTCAAAACCTCTGTTCTTTGGAACTAACCTTCCGTTCTTGAGGGAGTAACCTTCTGACATTTCAAGTTCTTAAGCTTCAGCTGGCTGTGCGTGCCACAATGCTGGCAAAATAAACACCACCACAAAAACTGCAGCCTTGCAATTTTGATGCGTGCACCACTATCAGGCTCTGCAGTTCAAGCATTTGCCACAGCACGCGCCCACATTGAGCATTGCCAAACTTCTCGGTTATGGTTATGGGTTATGGGGGCGTAAAACTTAGTAAGATACAGTGGACAGTGGGGCACTGGGACAGCGTGATGTAAAGCTTACCAAGATACAGTGGACAGTGGGACAGTGCGACAGCGGGACAGTGGCACAGTGGGTGGGCACAAGCCAGGTCAGTCAGCCCCAGTGAGGCAAACCAGGCATGCCACCTGCCAGGCAAAGGTCAAGTATCAACACAGACAGGTAGCAGATGCGCCCTCGAAACAAGTACATCCAATGCAAGGCTCTGTCTTTGACATCAGGCGCCGCACGGAAGCTCATGAGGCATCATAGTGCCAGTCCTGAAAGCCAGTCCACTATTCACTGGGACAGTGGACAGGGGACAGCTCCAAATCTCAGGTAGAGCTCCAAGGCGTAGCCAGCTCATTGGGGCCAGTCTCTGGCGTGAAGACAAACATGCGGTACACTTCTGCTTCACAGTCGAACAGCATCGACCAAAGATTCTCACTCTACAGCACCTTCAGCCCAGGCACGGGCACGGCTGAACATCGCGCTCGTCAATGTCAGCTTCAAATTCACCGTCGGCGCCGCAAGGAATGGGCTCTGACTTCCACATGTTCGGTGGGGGCCTCACAGGAGCACGTGGTTTCGGTCTCACCGGCACACGTGGACACTCCAGCCGTTTCTGGTCTCACAGGAGCATGTGGTCGCTCAAAGTACTGCGCCTGCCACGAAATCCAGCCCCACATCTGCACTCTCGCAGGCTGCTTCAGAAGCGTGCGCGTGCTAATTTTTAGCGCGCGGGCGCAGCTTTTCAAGCGTCGGAGCACGCAGCGGCTCGGGTCTCACAGGAGCACGTGAGCGCTCCAAACCACTCAAAACAGCGTGCCTGCTACGAAATCCAGCTGCAAAACCCACGCGGGACCTGGCTTCAACTGCACTCATGCAGGTCGCTTCACAAGCATGCGCGTGCCAACTTAGCGCGCGGGCGCAGCTTTTTCAAGCGTCGGAGCACGCAGCGGCTTGGGTCTCACAGGAGCACGTGAGCGCTCCAAGTCACTCAAAATAGTGCGCCTGCCACGAAATCTAGCTCCAGGAAGGACTGGCTTCCTTGTGTTGGGGGGGGGGGGGGGATGGAAAGCACACCCGCTCAAGTGCACCCGCTCAGCACTGCATCCACGCACGCGAAAGCGGAAGCGCACTTGCTCAAGCGCATCAGCGCTGCATCCACGCATGCAGGGGGGGGGGGTGGTGGGGGGGGGATGGCAAGCACACCCGCTCAAGTGCACCCGCTCGGCACTGCATCCACACACGCGCAAGAGGAAGCGCACCTGCATCAACCACGCACTCCTCTGGGAAGGGGTCACCCTCAGCCTCGATGTCCTCCAGCGGCGCCGCGCGCTTGTTTTGCGCATCTCCTTTAAAGGGAGTGCCAGAAGGGTTGAACTCCCGATTGTGCTTCTCCGTCGACTTGTCATAGTCTTGCTTCAGCCTCGCAAACTTTGGGCCCCACTCGTCCAGGGCTTTTTGCCGGAAAGCCAAGTGCCCATCGGCAGTTGGGAAGGTCAAGTGGTAAAGCTTCGTGTCATTCACTGGTGTGGACCCCTCAGGCTGGAAATCGCGAAGCTGATGCCCAGGGATGATCAACAGCTTCCCCCTCACCGTCCTGTCAATGGCTCTGCGTGTGGAGTCCTTCAGCCAGTCCGCGTTGGACCTGCGCTTGTCTTGCTCCTGGTCCCCACGGGCCCAGACACACGTGATCACCATCTCCTGTGGCTCTTTGGGCTTGGATTTGGAAAGACTTTGCACAGTGGACAGGAGGACAGAGTCATCATATGGCAAAACATCCACATAGACAGCGCCATTTTTCGGGTTCACCTGCATCCCTTTCCATAGGCTTTCCTTGAACTTGTTGATCAAGTCAACACCACTGATGTGCTGCTTGAACATCTGTGCCTTGGCAAGGTTTTCTGCAGATGTGGGCGGAACGCCTGCGAATGGCAAGACGAACTCCCCATTTGGCTTCATCTGAACTCCGGCAATCACACGCCTGTGCCAAAGGCTGCTTTTCTCAAACTCGCAGGCCACCTCATTCTCATTCTTCCTTTGGTTGCTCATGCACATCCACATGATGTGGGCGCCAGACCTTGTGCGGCTGGAAATGCTGTCCTGTCCAAACACTATTTGCCCACGGCGAACTCGCAGACCGTGCTCCTCTTGCTTCAGCAACTGCGCGGTGTCATCTTGGGCTTTCTCACAATAAGTGTCATCATGAGTGTGCCCATGGCCTGCTACATTTGGGCCAATCAAAATGGCGAAGGCGCGCTCTGGGCAGTGGGCGCATGCATCTGCAATCACACGCACACATTCCGGGCCGGCCCGGAGGGCAGCAGAGCCCAGGCTCGTGAGGTTCACGATGTACACGGTGAAGGCTGCCGGGGCAGCAATCATCACACTTTCCAGCCATGCAGCCGAGGCTTGCCCCACAAATGGAGCAATGTGCTCACCCTTTGAGAGGAGTTTCACAGGAAGGGTGCCGTCTTGCAGCTCTGCCGCTTTTGCTGTCAACTCCTGATCCTGGGCCCGCAGAAACTCGACCTTGCCGATCCGCTGCGTGGAGCTGTACTCATACAAAGCAGCCTTGTACTTGACCCAGGTCGACTGGTCCTTCTCAAGCTTGGCCTCGAAGAGCCGCAAGGATGCCTTCTCCTGCTGCAATTCTGCTTCCTCCTGCGCCTCATCAAGCTGCGACTGCTCTTTCACAGGCGCATCCCTGCCCAAATGGACACAGATGAAGCGGAAGTTCTGCAATTTGAGGGTGGGATTCATGGGCTTGACCCGGTCAGTAAGCTCTCTCTCAAAACCCTCTCTGCGGAACAACTTCTGAAGGTGCTCGAACTCTTGATTGCTCATCTCCTGCTGCATCTGCGGCCGGAAGTGCACCCACAGGCACGCCTGACGGTAGGCGCTGACGGGGTCACCCACCCGTAGCTTGGACGCACCATAGCGCAGGTTCGGCTTCTTCCTCAAGCGAATGAGATCCTTCAGATTCTTCAGAAAGACCGCAACCAAGTGAAGAAGGAACTCCTCATTCTTCTCCGGGCTTGGCGACAAGATATCTTTCCAAACGCCAGAGGCTTCTTGAGGCATGTCAGCATTCAGGAAGTTGAACATTTTCATGGGGACGGCGCTCTCGGCGTTCTTGTAGTTTTGCCAGTGGTACGCCAGGCCCTTGCGGAACTCCTCTGTCTGGCAGGGAAGGGCGCAAACTACACGAGCTTCCAGGTCACTTATGGACTGACTTTGCACATTGGTCATGGCATTGTACTCTTTCATCTTTCCAGGCAAGCCTGTGGTCACATCGGCGCCCGCCCTTTTCAAACCTTCAGACAAGGTGTGGAAGATCTGGATGGGGTCTGGGCGGGTGCTCTCACTCACTTGGAACTTGGCAGCCAGGGATCTGCACCGCTGTAGCTCATCTGAGGGAGCTGGGTTGTATGTGAACTTCACAAAGAACAATGAACAGAGGACAGGAAGCACATGGCTGACTTCTTCCTGGCAAAGCTGCATCATGGCAAGCAGGACCACCTTTGCAGCCAAGACCCTGGTAAAGCCCACACTCAATCTCACTGAAAAGTCAGTGATGGTCTGCCCCGGAACCTCGTGGAACAACACAGCAACTGGACTCTGTGCCGAGTTGAAGGTGTTCTCCAAAATGGAAAAGGCAACCTCGAGGATGCTCACCATGTTCGACCTTCCTTTGACAGCTGAGCTGTCAGCATGCCCCAATGCCCAAATGGAGAGCCATCCGTCCACAACCTGCATTGCTGCAGGTGCTGCTGGCGCTTGTGTGACTGCTACTGGGGGCACCCAACCTGGGCTGAGGTGCCTTGCAGTCGTGAACAAGCTCTGCAAGCTTGCCTTGAAGGCAGGGTCTGGAAGGCTGGAGGCCAAATAGTCAATCACATGGAGGCAGTCAGTGGCCTCTGGATCTTGCGAGCCTGAGAAGGTCTGTGCAATGATTCCCTGCAGCTTCTTCACGACCTGCTTCGAGTCTGCGCTCTCCATCCACCCGGTGTGCGCCATGGCTACCGGGCACCTAGCTACGACGGCGCACAGTGCACAAAGGATTGCTTCACTCACTATCTTGAAGCCTATGAAGGCACAATCAAAGCACAATCGCGCATGAGCATTGGCACAGGCAACTGCACAGGCAAGCGCGTGTTTTCCTATTCCCGATTCTGCGGTGCGCGGTGAAACCTAGCCAGCAGTTGCCAGGATGTGTCTGGCAAATGTTCATAGTACATGTTGCGGGTCAATGGCACCTCAGATCTCTCAGGCGGCGGCCGCCCAAGCCACACCAGGGGAGGTGCTTCCTCACTGGTCTCTGCAGACTGGCCTTGCTCCAACAGCGTAACTTTCTCCCGGATGCGCGCCACACTTCTGGCAAAGTCATGAGGGAGGCCCTCCAGAGTGTCCGCCAACTTCGTCAATGTTGCCAGCCGCTTTTGACTGGCTGCACCTTCTGCCAAGTCACGGCAAGGACCTGGGACAGTGGACAGCGCACTGTCTATCACTCTTTGCCGTGGCAAAGCCAGCACTGGTGGCAGAAAGCTGGCCCCATGCATTCTGCCCTTCGTCATTGCAAAAACGTCATGGTCATGCCCCTGGACACCGGCTCTGTCTTGTGGAAGATTCTCAACTTCTCTTGGCGACAGGTGGCACCGGCACTTGTAAACAAAAGAATGGGCGCCAAGCCGGCCTTGTCTGCTCACAAAGCAGCCCCGCAGTGAGACCCCAATCTTCCCCAACCACTGGTCGAAGTTTCTGACGTGGTGCACCTCATCTACGAAAAGCTCTTCGCCCTTTTCCAACTTCATCTTCTCCCTGATCAGCTCGGCCAAATCTTCTGGCAGCTCAAAACGGTGGGGACGCAAAACAGTGGACAGGAGCATGGAAAAATAGTGATCGACGTCCTCATGTGTGTGTCCGACTGTCAGGAAATTCATAGTGCAAGTCAAGAACTTGCCCTCCGACGCCAAGTGCGCCAAGAACAGTGGCACAACTGAATTCTTGTTCTGCGCAGTGGTATTGTCGGCTTGCACGACAAGATGGAAAAGGTCTCCCTGTCCTCTCCGAAATCTGCATGACCCGGTCAATGCTGCGGCACAGCAGTTCGCATGTTGAGGATGCGCCGTGGTGAAGAGAGTCATCAGACAGGAACACATTGCTGCACCACCCATGACAGAGGACAGCGGACAGAACCACCCTGGGACGTTCCAGATTCTCCAAACAAGCAGGCTTGCGGTGAAATGGATACTGAGGCCAGCTTGTCTTGCACTGATCCATTCTAGAATAATGGTTAACACATCCATGCTGGCCCGCGATGCCCATCTAAGGCTCCATTAAATCAACCTGTCGTGGTACTGAGCACGAAGATGCTCACGCCACTTGCATGCTAGAGCCATCTTCTCTGCAGGCGGCTTTCTCTTGCCTTGGATGCTCTCCCGAAACTGGTGGCACTCGTTGCACTCCTTGTGCTGCGACCTTTTCCGAAACCTCAAGACATGCGACCACTTCCCGGACCACATCCGCCAGAAGACCGACCATGACGGAGTCTTGATTGAGGAGTGTCCTGCGAAGGCCTGCACCGCCTCACACCAAGCCTGGAACTGCCAATAAAGCCCAGGGTCCAGAGCTTGCTTTGTGTACTCATTCACCTCAGCTCCTTCTGCCTTTACAAGTCAAAGCATTGGCTCATCCAATGACACACTATGCCAGACCAGCTGGCGGGTGCGTGCTGAGGAGGGTGCCTCTACAGGCACCACAAGGTCGGAGCAGAGTGGCTTTTTCCACGAAGACAGCCGTGCGCTTTCCACCAGTGACAGTGGACACGGGACCATCAGTGACAGTGGGCAGATCTGAAACGCTGGCCTCTTCCAGTGCTGGACACCCGAACTGCCATTGCCCTTCTCGCCTGTCACAGGTGGAGTTTTCCAGCTCATTTTTGAGCCAAAATACCTACAGGCAAGAACTGCAACGCCCGGCCACCTTCAGCCGCCGGCCGAGGAAATGACAAAAGTCATTTACTGAGCTGGCCCCTGACACCCCCCCACGCGCCGGCGAAATAAATGACGTTGTAAACAAATGACTTTTAGGCTTGGAATTTAAAGCCCCCCCACAGCAAAGCAGCCGGCCGCGCCTGAAGTCATTTGAAGTTGGAGCGCTGGCTTATACCGGTCAGGTAGGGGCCTGAGACAAGGGCAAACGAAATGTGCAGCCGGCGGCGAAACAGAAAATGACATGTGAAACGGCTGGCTGCACATTTCAAATCCCTCTGTTGCCGGCCCCCTGGTGGGTCATAGCAGCCGGCGATGCAAACTCAAATGGTGTCTGAGGCGGCTGGTGCCTGGCCCAGTGAGGCAGCAAAATGCCGGATGTCGGGCGGGGACATTGATAGCTAAAATCAAGCATCATGTTCATTAACCCAATGGCAGGTTCTATGTTTACCTGTGGCTGCGACAGGTTCCGGGCAAGGTGTCATGGTGGAAAACGCACAGTGGAAATTGGACAGTGGACAGTGGGTGGTTGACAGTGGAAAGTGTAAACTGGCAGCACAGTGTAGAGTGGACAGGGAACAATGGACAGTGTACAGAGGACAGCGCACAGAGGACAGTGTGCAGTCGAAAGTCCCGAGCTCATCCTTGCTAATCTACACGGCAAAATGCAAACATAAAATCTTCTCTACGAAACAGCCAGGTGTCCAGCAGGTTCTATGTTTACCTGTGGCTGCGACAGGTTCCGGGCAAGGTGTCATGGTGGAAAACGCACAGTGGAAATTGGACAGTGGACAGTGGGTGGTTGACAGTGGAAAGTGTAAACTGGCAGCACTGTGTAGAGTGGACAGGGAACAATGGACAGTGCGCAGAGGACAGCGCACAGTGGACAGTGTGCAGTCGAAAGTCCCGAGCTCATCCTTCTAACTTTATCGGTGAATGGGCTGACAAAGCCAGCACTGCCAGAATTGCCCCTGATGCCGCGCCTGGAAGGGCGGCATAGGGCCAGCTCACCTGAGATGGCTGCACAGGCATGTGAGTGCTGCTCTGTAATGAATGCATGGCGTGAACCATGAGCAATCATTAAGTCCTTTGAAGCTCCTTTTGACACGATGTCCAAGGCTGTGTCTTGCGAAACTGCTTCAGTCAGAATGCCCAGCGCGTGATCGATCACTGCTGGGCACTCAATTCAAAAAGCTTCCTGTTCCCCTTCCTCTGCTCATCTGCCAAAAAAAGCCACACTGTGCATCAACAGCTTTCTGAGCAAAAGGGCTGGCAACTAGTTACTATCAACAACGACTCCCATGCACACATGGACATGGGACAGTGGACAAAGGACAGGGGAACAAAGAGCTAATGAGCCAATCCGTTGCCTCTCAAACGCTCACATGGCGTACTGGCGTGGGATAAGTTGGAAATCGCCACGGTCCTCTGTCCAGTAGTACCTGACGGAAAAACTGACAAAGGTTTGTCAAGGAGCCTGCAATGCCCCCATGCACAAAGTGAGACTTGGGAAACAAAAGAATGACTCAGCCCCGAGCCCATTTCCGTAGCTCCAGACCCAGCCCTGCCACGAGTCCATGGACGGGCCCCGGGCCGTCCAGTGCGGCATGTTCCTCTCATTCTGCGAAGCAAATGCCTCGAGCACTAGAGTCAGGGAAGTGATGCACAATGCGCACTTGGACACCTTGGTTCTCTTGCCAGCCTGGTTGGTCAGGAACTCTTGCAGGGCGGCTGGGTACTTGAGGCACCGCCACATGTGAAGCTTCTGCGGCTGGCACCCAGGAGAGGTCGGCGGCTTCTGAAGATACAGGAAGTGCGCAAACCATTGGTCGCCTTCCTGCAGAACACAGCTGGGCTACGCATGTCTGCAAAGTGTGGCCTACACTTTCCCGGGTCCTGCTTGTAGAGCCCAGACATGATAGAGTAAGTCGAGAACTTCATCATGTTGATCGGGACAGGCTTGCAGTCAAAGATGATGAACTGCCCCTTCAATGTGGCCAGGAAAAAAGTGTGTAACCCAATGAAAGGCATGTGTCAAAAAGAAAAAGCAATATGCATCCACATACTTACAGGGCCTGAAACTTGCTGACCCCAGCCGGCCTCCACTGTCTCCCCCATGACCTTGTACAGGTTCAGCTGGTCCATCTCGTTCAAGATGAAAACCCAGAAGAACTGCCCCAAGGACTGCAGAAAAACCGTCATCCGGGGCTCCTGGCAATGCATTATCACAACGAACCAGCCAACCGTGTGGAATGCTGTGGACACGCATGGCACATGTCCTTCAGGCCAAAGAACTGCTCAGCGGGCAAAGGAATGTTGGGCTCAACCAAGTGCTGAAACTCGCCCTCCTTCATGAGACCTGCAAGCCAACAAATTTGGGACACGGACAGTGGACAGTATGGACAGTGGACAGTGGACATGGGACATGTATGCCTGCATGAGCTATCAGCTTGTTGCTCTACTTACCCTGCCTTCATCCAGAATGGTCAGAGTAACACCCTCCGGAAGGTTGGCCGGCGTTTTCACTCCAGCCAGGGCTTTGTTCCGCGCGGCCAAGTTAAACCGCTCACGGGAGGCACTGCCACCAAAGTGGTCGGTCCCCGCCTTCAGAGTCAATCTCACTGGTCATGCGTTGGCCACACAACAATAGCTCTATTCTTAAACTATAACAAGCTGCCATGAAAAACACTCAAGACCAACACATGCTCAAAGATATCTCCTGGCCTGCTGGACAGACTCCACATGCTGCCATTCCCCCAATGCCCGGAGCATTGTCTTTGCACCAGCGCAGGCGTCAGCCAGATGGGTCTGAGAATTGCAACTCGTGTCCTAGCCTGGGTCACCTGCTCCCCCAGCCCCTTCTTCTCAATCAAGTTCCCTGGGGATGCATGGCATCGCCTGGCTGCTGCAACCTCGTCACCCGTAAAGAACGGCTGATCCTGCCATGCCACTGCCCAAGCAACGCGAATGAACTCAAGCTAGCCACATGACAATGTGCCCGGCGTCCTCTGAATTGAACCGCTGGTGCTGAGGGTATGTGAAAGTCTCCACATCGAAGCCGACAAGAACCCGCAGGAGGTTTTCACTGGGGTTGTCCCCGACCACCAGGCCAGGGAGATGGCAAGTTGAGTTGT